GTGCCCCAGACTTCTCACTGTCTTAAACCAAACCTATTATCAGCCCAATGTAACCAATTTGTATGCTATCATGAGGCCTGGAATCAAAGCTTACCCTACATTAATGCATGTGTGAGCCTCCCTCACTCTCTTTAGCAGTTCAACCAAAAAACAGCTGCAAGAAACAAAGGAAAATGTTTACACAGCAGATGCTCTCTGTATAAAGGACTGCAGCTACACTGCTCTGACACCTCCCTCTGTTTAATAGATAGAGTACCCTTCCTTTCTAAAAACAGAATCAGGGCAAAGGCAGGGAGTAGAAGGAAATACAAGCTGGGGAAGGGCACCAGTACAGAAAAAATCCAGCACTGGTAACGAGATTTGTAGCATTTTAACTAGGAAATTTAACTTCATCCTGTCAGGGCTTGAAGCTTCATGTATTCAAGACTGAAGTAATTTTTAAATGCTTGAAGTCTGTAACAGAGCTAGGCTTTAAAACTTCAAGAACTCAAAAGATTTCTAGTGATGTTAGTGCATCCATTCCTTCCCATATGTCTCCACAGAGATTAGATGCTAATTACTGGAAGTTAATAAGCTCCTTGTGGTTACAGACCTTCCCCTTGGCACTTTCACTGACACTGCAGAATCTGACTTCCCTTTTAAATAGGACTGATCCAGATAGCTTAGTATAAGGTAAATTCTGTAACTGCAGCAGTATGAAACCTTTTATTCTGGATTTTGAAATATACATATTATTAAACATGTTTTCTCCTTTCTCTTTGAAGTAAAATATGACCTTAACAACCCTGCAAAACACGGAAAGCTGAATTTCCTCAACAACCTTGCAACTGGACTAGTATTCATTATAGTTGTTGTGAATATTTTTATCACTGCCTTTGGAGTGCAGAAACCAGTTGCTGAGCCAATATCAAGACAGTAAGGAACAGGTGAGTGTGGTCTCCTGCAGCATGAGGTAGCAGAGCACTGCATCTAGAAATGCAGGGCACACTGGGGCACTTTAGAAACAGCCACAGGCTGATCTGTACTGTTAAAGTTCTTGCAGATACCTGAGCTCACTTCCCATTAGTGCAAAAGCAGAAGCTGCTGGGAACTGGTAAGCTATTACAATGTGTTTGTGAATGTGGAGTTCAAAAGTTGAGGGCAGCATGTGTCACCCGAAGGAAGTGTAAGGATTGTCCTGGCCTAGCCACTCCTTTTCCTTACTGCTGACTGAGATAATAAGGGAAATAATGTTGTTCTGCTTTCTCCAAATGCCTGTCCTTTTTTTAAGGAAGGTTTGCATCCAGTCTGTTACTTAACACTGAAGACAAGCTGTTTCCAAGTAGCTAGGGCTGTTAAATCTGACATGTAACACTGCACATGCTGGAGCCTCTCAGTTGCTGTGCTGGCTGCAGATCGTGTGGCTCCTCTGTCCTTCACAGGACAGGACTTTACTCTGTGGGAGACTAAGCTCACAAAGATGAGCACTATCACTTCACATTGACCATTTAGGACAGTGCTGTTGCTCTACCTGCACTTGTAGCTTTGTTCTTTATGTATACAGCAGGATAAATACAGGAATTATGGGGATCAAACTGGTTATCTTCCTGGCGTCATAGCTGTCATGAGCAGTTTGGGAGGAGATAAACCTAAATTATAGGCTTGTAATGCAAGAAGCACTATGGTCAACATCTGCCTTCAAAATAACACTGCTAAGTCTGTGTGTGCCAACATTGCTCTGGCACTTGGTCTCCCAGATCTCAGCCCAAAATCAGACATGCTGAAGAAGGAATGACTGGGCTGACAGGCCATGATTGCACTCTGTACTACGCAGACAGCCCATGCAAGTAACATTACTACTTTGTGGAGACTTCTACAGGAAACCCTTTCTCCATGAGAAAGAAGATACAAGGCCTTTAAACCATGAATCTGTAGATGAAAGGTGCAACAGAAATCTGTAACAAAAATGGGAGTCAACCCAAAATTTATCATCAGTCAAAACAGCATGGGGGAAAAGAATTGTAAAATATTACTAGGAAAATGAAAAACTACAGTAATTTATCTCAGAGTGTGGGTGTAATTTTCTGCTTTAACCAAAACCTGTGAAACTCTGGCAGTGAAATAAGATCGTTTTAATGCAATTTCTGGCCACAGTCGCTACAAACAGTCTAATAAGTATTTAATTTTAACAGCGAAGAGCACATGGATTATCTGAGCTATTATCCAAAATGCAGGTAGGATGTTGACTCCAGCAGTACATGTTAAAGCAGTACTGTCTCCGTCTGTCTGGGGGTGCCTCCCAGTGAACCCCGGCCAGCCCCAGGTCCGCAGACAACAGCGGGGGGCAGCCCCAAAGCGGCCGACAGCGGCGGGGGGATGCTCTCTGGTGCCCCGAGGGTACCGAGGGCAGCTGGGCTAGTGCCTTTGCATCAGGAGAGACACTGGAGACATCGGTAGAGGATAAAAGGCCGACAGTCAGCACAGGGCCAGTCCAGGATTTATTCAGAGCTCCTCAGGAGCCCCACTCCTCAGTGGGCGCCTTGCTCAGAGTAAAACAAAAGGGAGGAAGCCGAGGGTAGATACATTTGCTGACCAATAAAGACCCTCCAGGGATGCAACCTTAGGGATGGACATTTGGGATAGCGTATAAAATAATACTTGGGGGGCTGCCACCTGGCCTTGGACTAATCACTCGACGACTTTGACCGAAAGTTCTAGATAGAGGGGATGGGATGCTGAGTGACTGACAGAGAGCCAGGGCGGGGATTTGGGGATGATCTCGACAGAGGAGAATGATTACACAGGTAGAGGGAAGGGGGTACACAAAGGGGTACACCATTTGGGAAAATAAGGGGATACAAAACCAAAATTATTACAAAGTATTACAGAGTATAACTGCACACTACAACACAATACTGAAGTACTAACCCCAAAATTACACTGGGAAAACCAAGAGAGCTGCATGAAAGATTTTTGGAATTTTAGCTGCCTTCACCGGACAAAACACACAAAATACCAGAGACAGAGGCAGAGACAAGGATCTGAAATAGGCGTAAGGAAGCTCAGAACAGAACCAGAAGCTGTGGGCTCCTGCCTCCATGCTCTCACACATGCAGTTTCCTAATTAAACAGCCAAATGTGGTGTCCAGAACCTATTTTTTGCTGCAGACTTGTTAAATGTGAAAGTTCTGTATTGCTTTGGAACATTACAGCTGTTGTTTGCATTTGTACCCATTGCCCTTGCTAAAAACATTTGGTCATCTCAATGTAACCTAAAAAATAAGTATTTTTCAGTCTGTTGTCACAGTCTCCTCAAAACCCTGAGAGAAGTGGCAGGCCACCATGTTCTGGCTTCACCTTTACTATTGTGCACCCTTTTCCCCAGAAAACTTAATTCCCACTTTAAAGTAAATGTGTCATTTACTATAATTCCTGTATCACTAAAATATCAATATCTTTGTGTTTCAGAGACCTGGAGCATTTATTTTAGATGTCATTTGCAGTTGAGCCAGATACACTGGACACAGTGGGAAAAGAAAAATAATTTGAAGAAGCTGGACACACCAAGCAGCTTTCTCAAGCTTCCAACACACTTGTATACCTGAAATTTTCCCATGTGTTAATATTTAAATTGTTTGACATCTAAGAAAAGGTTAGCTTTGCCCCAAGGATGCTGTTTTTCAGGAATGTTGGCATTTCAATTTCTGAATAAACATTTTTTTTTCAGAGAAGTGACATAAATTCATGAAACAAGGAAATATCATCTGATAGCATTTCACAGGACTTTTCTTTTTATATGCCTTTGGTTTTTGTGGCAATTTCCACAATGGTAAGAAATGTCAGGCCTTTGATTCTGGCATGGTCACATTGTCCTTTATTTCACTGCTTGGTACCAAGCCCACGTACTCTGTAGCCCAGCAGGGCTCTTCCTTTGCAGTGTGTAAAATAACTGCTTTTGCACAGCTTTTTGTTCTGCTTTTTTCCCACTCTAGCTAAAGGAAAGATGAGACAAACAGAAACAAGCAGTATTCTTCTGTCCAGTTTTGTTCACAAGTAATCATTTGTATTGTTTCTTCTGGACACACTTGAAATTTCCTGTCCTTCATGCACAGACACAAATCACCTAATTGTTAATGGTTTCTTACCATGAAGTGCTATTCTGTGCATTATATGTACTTATTTGAATCATAGAGTAGTTTGGATTTAAGGGACCTTTAAAGGTCATCTTGTTCCATCTTGTCCCAGGCTGCTCAAGCCCCATCGAGCCTGGCCTTGGACAGTTCCAGGGATCCAGGGGCAGCCACAGCTGCTCTGGGCACCCTGTGCCAGAGCCTCACCACCTTCATTGTAAAAGGTTCTTTCTTATATTAAATTTCTATTAGAATCTCTAGTAGAAGTGCCACCTTTCTAGGCTCTACTGGTAAACTGGAGGGTCCAGGGTGAACTTTACCTGTTAAGGTAAAGGTACCAAGTGCCTGGCAGCAAAATTCAAATGGCAAAATGAACTGAGTTTTTCTCTCTAGTTTCCTCTCTCTCTTCCCATTGATTGCTGCTGTTTTGTTCCTTTTATGAGCTTATGGCTAAAAGCAAAATAAGTTTTTAATTTTTTTTTTTTTAGATATATATAGAGAGTTATAAATATCTTCTAGCCTCTTACCTGCTGGATCAGGGACTTACACTTTTTCTAAATACACTATTGCTAATAATGGTGTAGGTTGCAAAAATTTCTTCAACAAAAACATTTTAGTAATTTTATTTCCAAAGTATCATACCTGCAATCTAAGTTTTCTAGGTTGCACTTATATGTAGATGCAAGATATAGATTTGTATGAATCAATTTTCTTGGCATCAATTTTCAAAAGCTCTTTTGTACATAAGAATAGAAGATTGACTTCATGTGTCTCATCCCATTTACAGGTTTTGTTACTGACCTTTCTCTTTGGGTATGTCTCAAAGCCCACTGATGTACCAGATTTCATGTATATGTTCTGTAAGAATTACTAACAGAAAACAGATCAAACTCGTGTGATTAGTAATGGGATAGATATTCTTTTTTATTTTCTAATTTGTCTTTTGTTGCTTCATTTACATTGTAACATGTATTTAACTCATATCCAGCAGGCAGTGGTTTAATTTTGTGGGCTGTACTAATGTAAACATAACTCAGAACAAGTTCTGATTGAGGCATGCAGGACAACTTCCTTCCTGTATTTGTTTGTCACAAAGCACCAACTGCTGTAGGACTCTTCATGCCCACTCGTGGCTGTCACACTTCTGATGCTGCTTCCCATGTCTTTTATTGTGATTAAATAAGATTTACAAAACATTCTCAGATGTGAAATCTGTACTTTTAGTCTTTGAAGCCTTCAGAGTTCATGTATTTTTTAGCAGACAGAAGCATCTGCAAGTTGGTTTCAAGTATAAATAATTTAATCACAGGATTATTATTCTTTTAAGTCAGGTGCTGCTTTAAAAGTAGGCAGGCAGGTATCTCAGAGGGGCAGCAAATACATACGTTTGACTCATTCTTGGACTCGTTCTTTGGTTTGCTGTGCTTTTTCAGAGTTCTTGGTTGGAGGTAAATATCTCTTTTAAAAAGAGGTCATCAATAATGAAGTGAGATGAATTTTCCAGGCTGTGTGAGGAGCAGTTTGTGCCAGGTCAGCCGTTTGCTCCTGTTTCATAAGCTCTGGGCAGGGAGAGCACTGCTCATGGTCCTTCTCATTAGTCCCTTCAGCATCCAGAATAGCCTGGGCTGGGATTTTCAGCATAGCTGTAGTTACTGAAGCAGGTGACAACAAACATATTTACTGGAACTCACTGGGTATTTGTCTTCTAAACCAGGTCACTGCTGGAGTTCATTCTGATGCTGAGTCTTACATAAAATAGGCTGAAGCAGAAAACACCATCCTGGTTTCTGTATCCCCTCAACTGCCATTCAGTTGTATGAATTAACAACTTCTTTACCCTCAGTGAGTTTGCAGATGACACTAAGGTTGCTGGGGGTATTGATGTGGTGTCAGGCCATAGTTTTATCTGGAGAGGCTGGATCCAAGGCCAGTGATCTGAGCTTGAACAAGGCCAAGTGCCAGGTCCTGTCCTTGGGTCACAACAGCCCCTGCAGCTACAGGCTGAGCCAGAGGGGCTGGAAGGGACTGGCAGGAAAGGCCCTGGGTTTGCTGGTGGTGGTGGCTGAACAGGAGCCCAGGTGGGTAAGTAGGACCAGGGCAGTGCCCATTCCCTGTGCTGCACATTCTGGGGTCAATTTTGAGCCCCTCACAACAAGAAAGAGCTTGAGGGGCTGGAGTGTGTCCAGAGAAGGGAACGGAGCTGGGAAAGGGGCTCAGCCTGGAGAAAAGGAGGCTCAGGGGGAACCTCTTGGCTCTGCACAACTCCCTGATGGGAAGGGGACAGCTAAGGGGGTTCTGGCTCTGCTCCCAGGAAGCAAGGACAGGAGGAGACAGAAGGGCCTCAAACTGTGCCAGGGGAGGGTCAGGTTGGGCATTGGGAGGAATTGGACAGCACCAGTTCCTGGAGCAGATTGTGTTTCTGATAAGCCCAAGAGAAGCTGAGCCCAGGTGTATTTCTCAGATCTTGGTGCAACTTGAAAAGGGGCTGGGGGAGGCAGACCACCACCAGGACCCCACCACCTAATGCTTGCAGCAGTCTTGCTGGAGCCTGTTAGTATTCACAGGTGATCAACAAAGCTGAACCAGAGACAGAAGCTGAGATGTCCTAGAGAAAGAAGTAAACTGAAATAAATGAGAGAAGGTGCTCCAGGAAGAGATAAATAACAACATGGTCACAGCAGGCCTCAGGGCAGAGTTTCCATCAGAGGCTGGGTTGCATCCAAGTGCTGCAGGGTGACATGTCAGCTGTACCTGGAGTTTCACTCCTCTCCCCATCACTGAGTATTCCCATCCTGACATTGGAACACATCAGGCAGCGGTGGGAGGGCAGAGAGGGCAGAATCATGGGCAGAGCTGACCGAACAACTCGAGCTGATTGACAGCAGACTACTCTTGGGCATGTCAGGAAGCAAACACATATTGTCGGAAGTACATCTACAGCAAAGAGACAGGAAAAAAATGTGGTATATAAAGGCTCCAGCTGTTGGCAAGAATTTCTTATTTTCACACTGATCAAATTATTTTCACTGTATGAAATAACGAAGTCACAGAATCACTGAATCATTTAGGATGGAAGAGATATCAAAGAAAATTGAGTCCAACTTTTGACTGACTCCATCTGTAAATTATCCCCCTCATCCCCCTAAGTCCATGGCCATGCCAGTGGGAGGGTTACTGATGTGTCAGTGCAGGATAGGGCGTGAAACACTGGATATAATCTTTTCAAAATAATGTATAACCAATAATTATCCAACTTCCTAACAGGGTGGTGACAAAACATTACCTGCCCTCCTATTGGATACTATGGGTTATTTTGAATTCACTTTTCCTCCACAGTCTGTTGAAGGTCTGTTTTCATGGTTCATTTTATTCCCTTGGGTTCTCATATAACAAGAACTATTTACTAACCTGGCTGCCTTCCCAAGAAGAGAGTGCCACAGCTCCCAGTCAGGAACAGAGAATTATCAATAGATCCTCATCAGGCAAGTCAGGCTTTGTCAGAAATAGAGATGGCAGAAACTCAGGTTCCTTTTTCATTCAGCCTCCTTCCTGATGTTTTCCACTCCTCTTCTTTCCAGTCTTCCAGCCCAGAAGTTCCCCACTCCCTTTTTAATGGTACAAGTTTTAACTAGTTGAGAAATGAGTGTAAATATGGTGCCATGCTAGGAAGTACCACACCAGGACTACTGAAACATTGCAAAACATATTCACTGGTACCAAAAATATTTGAGAATAAATCAGTTTCATCCCACCCAACATTACCACAGATTTCTGGCATGAAGGATGAAAATAATCTAAACTCTTGGGAAGGCCTTATGTTTCAGATTTGTTTTGGACTTGTGGAAGATATGGAGGGAGACAACTATGTGTCTTTACCCTGAAATAGGAGTTATTTTTTTCTGTGTCAGATCAGAAAACATAATTCACCAGGCATGCCAAGGAGAGCATCACTCAGGAAAGAAATGACTGTATCCCCTCAGGCTTCTCCATCCCTTGCAGAGTTTAAAATCCTGGCAACGTGACTTGGGAACAAGACTGAACTTCACAAACTGTGTGATGTGCACTAACTGGGGAGCATTGGGAGCAAGCCACAATGCACCTGTGTGGGTCAATGTTCTTCTTCGTACTCCATAAAAATTCTTTCTTCTCCATGTGAGTAGAAAAACAGTTTTGAAAGCCCCATACCCCACAGCTGCACTGGTAGGACACCTCAGAGCCTCTTGAAGGGACTCTGGTTATCACACAGAGGTCCTGCAGTCTTCAAACCTGATGTCACTGATAATATTTTGCTTAATTTGTACATCCTCTTCACTTGCAGACACAGGGTGTGATGGAATGATGTGTCTTGTTCATTGTTCCAGAGTCAGGACCAGCCTAGACTCATCCAGGGCTGAATTTCATCCAGCTCAGAATGAGGAATTTACTTCCTACTTGTTTTCTTATTGACTCTGAGATCACCAAGATGAGTTTCACTTTTATTTCACAGGGCTCCTGGCCTGGGAATACCCTGAAAGATATCACTGCAATTCTTTAATAGAAAACTGCTATCTAAATTATTGCTATTGATATTAAGTATTATTTTCTGCTATAATTTTACCTGTTACACCTAGACTTTGAATTTGATTCCAATCTGATGTAAGTTATCTCCCTACCTCCTGGCAGAACAGAGTTCTTGCACAGCAGAGCAAAGTAGCCATGTTAAATTGGCTGTGAGCCAGTTCCAGAGGCACAGGTGAAACAAAATCCAGCTCTATGCAACCATTATGGATCAGGAATATTTAAGAGGCACAGGCATCATTTTTCCAGCCTTCACTAGGAGCTTTTAAAATGAATTAGCTCAGAGCCCACAGAGGAGAAACAACGTCAGCTCTCTCTTTCTGATGCAGCGGAGCGTTCAGCAGGGAGCAGCCACGGGAAGCCAGCATTTATCCCTGCCTGTCCCGGCCGTCACTGGAGCCGGCGGGGCTGGAGGTGAGGCACCGCAGGACGGCTCAGAGCAGCCTCCGGACAGCACCCGCAGGGCTGGAGCACCAGGAGACCCCCAGGGTGGCTAAAACCAAGGCTAAAAAGGAAAACAAAAAACCACCTGAGTGTGATGAAATATTTTGCTATGGAGAAGAGAGGATTTGCTGCACATTGTGAGAACACGTCTCTGTGATTTATCCAGGGTTCGTGTGCAGCGGCACACTGGCTGCTGGCACCCAACTTCACCTGTTACCAGTTCATGAAGCACAGACTGAGTCTGAAAGGCCTTTGCTTTGCTAGACACAATGTTAAGGATTTATCAAGAGCACCATGGCAGAAAGCTTTTCCTTGTGACCACAGTGTAAAGTGGCCTGCGCTCCAAAACGGCAGGGGCAGCTCAGGATTCACCCAAAATATTATTTTATGCCAAAGCAATGGTACTGAATTAACTGGAGCAGTGTTGCCGCATACCTGTCTCATCTCCTGCCTCCGATTCCTTCTTTCCATTTGCTCTAATAACATCCCTATGCAGTGGGTGAGATGAGGATGGAAAATTACCCCCTCTCCTGAATCCTATAATTTTGTAGTTTCATCAGGCTGTTGTTTCACTCACATCCGAACCTTGGTGATGCTCTGGTCCCTTCACCTGGTGCCTGGCACAAGGCTGCTCCTGCAGCAGCAGAGGGTTGGGGCATGCTACCCAGCACAGGTACCAGCACAAGCACAGCCTCCCACTAACAGCTGCTCCTCTCCCCAAAGGGCCACAAACCAGCAGGCAAGGAGGGGAGTCCAGTTCCCACTCATCAGGGAGTCAGTCCACAGAAGGGCACAGGATGAAGAGGATTTCTCCTCCTGATGAAGCTATCTCAGAGATGCTCCTCCATGACCACTCAGGCTCTGTTCAACAGAATCCAACGCCAAGCTCTGGGGCTCTTCTTGTCCCCAAAGAGTCTTGTAGCAACAGATACAATCCTGGCTGTGGGTTAGTGACTCTACCTAAGGTTTCAAGTTGTGTCAGGGGAGATTTAGATTTAGTATTAGGAAATACTTCTTCACGGAAAGGGCTGTCCACCCCTGGCACAGGCTGCTCAGGGCAGTGATGAAGTCACCATTCCTGCGAGTGTTTAAAAAGCATGTCAATATGGGACTTTAGGACATGGTTTAATGGTGAACATGGTGGTGGTGCCAGATCAGCCTTAATTATATTAAGAGCTCTTTTCCAACCTGAACAGTTCTATGATACCATGATTCTCCTGCTACAGCAAGAAGTTCCTTTGGTGGGATGCTCACAGAGGCACCCAGGTCAGCAGTTCCCCCTTACCAAAAGAAACAGGCCAGTAATAAAATGGTCTACATGGTTTTCCTTACATGAAGTCCCTTTTGCATGGTCCAAGTAGCACTTCAAATGAACAGTGTGTCAAAGTCCCTTTATAGCAAGCACCAGCGTGCCTCCAAGGCCTCAGGGGCAGTGATCCTTGCAATTCCCAAAATGACACAAAATCAAGGATTAACCCAAAGACACAGTTTTTGAACTGATGAGCCTTGTTTTAACTCCAGATCCCTAAACAAGCTAAGCAAAAAACCTGCAATTTTGAAATCAGGTGCAAATGTTAAAAATCCTGGTGCAAATACCCAGAAAAACTTAACCATGAGAGACGAGAGCCCAGGAGGGGTTGGTCAGCAGCTGCAGGAGGGCAACAACCAAGGGGTGCTTTTGCAGGGAAGAGCAGTGCATTAACTACAAGAAAAACAGCAGCATTCTTCTGTCAGATTTTATTTCAATACAATTGACAACTTCACCCTATTAGAAAAATAAATACATTAATTTCTAAAGGATTCAAGAAGATGCACGTTCAGAGAAATTAATACAGGACACAGGCCCTGTGAAGTGCAGCAAACTGATTCTTGCCAGCACAGCCAAGGCATGGCATAACATGGAGTAACATCTGTGCACACAGAATGGCAGGGGAAAGCATCCACAATGGCACATTTTGACCAAATGTTTTCAATTTATTACAATATGGAAAAAATAACAATTAAAAGAAACAAAAGGAATAACTTTGTCTTGACAAAGGCACTTTTAACTGCAACTCCATCCAGCAGCTGTAAAGTAGCCCAGTGCATCCCAGAATGAATAATCATTTCATTCCCACTCCAGCTCACCAGGCACATCATCCTTCACCAAGTCTTTTAAATGGCAGTCTGGCTTCAAACAGAATTGTGCAAATTCTTTGTAGGATCTATCACTTGCTTCCCACTCTCTGCACACAGACAGTCCTGAACTCGGCCTTAACCATTTCCATGGCTCAGGCCAGTACCTGCTTAGCTCCTGTATAAATTCCTGCCTACAGCATGGCAGCCACAGTGTTCACAAGGATGACCTCCACCCTCAGCATGGAACCACCTACAACCCAGCCAGGACAACTTCCCTGCACAAAGTGTGAACCATTTCTAAATTAATGCCAGCACAGTTTCACCAGCGAAAGCCAAGCTGTTCTTGATTTGCCAGGAAAACCAGAATTCTGCAGCTAAACAGCTTCATCTAAGACCCTGCTCGATTTATTCCCAAGTCTGTAACACTGTTTGCCCAGAAGGACCTGACTCCCATGCAGGTGCACATGTGCTTCCTCCAGGAGCTGAAAATGGAATTATCGCTGTTCATATGTGATGCATTGATGTGCTTGCAGAGAAGCAAGCTCCTGAAAGAAAAATATTCTAAGAATGTCTCCCAGCCTGTGCACATGCCAATTGTATAGGCAGCCTTACATTCACTGTTCAAATTAATAACTGGCACTAATGAAGGAATAGATTGTTTTCTATTCTTTGCTGTTAGGTCCTTTAACACTAGGATGAACCCAGACTTGTTTTTTCTTCCTTCTTCCAGCTCTAACCCTTGGCATAGCTCATTCTGGACCATTTTTTTCCCTGAGAGACATCCTCATATCAAGCAACCTCAGGAAGGGAGGAAAATACAGCCCTAGCCATAGTAAATTTTCCTGTACCATACTGGGAAAGAATTCTTCCTCCAGCCCTGGCACAGGTTGCCCAGAGAAGCTATTGCTGCCCCATCCCTGGAAGTGTCCTTTCGAAGCTCTCTAATAGTTTAATATCTTTCTTATATTGTGATTCCCAAACTGCCCTCAGCACTCGAGGTGAGGCCACCCCAGTGCAAAGCAGAGAGGGATAATCCCCTCCCTGGCCCAACTGGCCATGCTGGGCCTGGTGCCCCCCAGAACAGGGATGCCCCCCCTGGCTGTCAGGGCACCGCTGACTCATATCCAACTTTCCATCCACCAGGATTCCCAGGTCCCTTTGCATGGTGCTGCTCTCCAGCATCTCCTTCCCCAGCCTGTCCATACATCCACGGTTGTACCATCCCAAGTGCACAATCTAGCACTTTCCCTTGTAGAACTTCACTGGGTTGGTGATTGTCCAGCCCTCTAATTTGTCCAAGTCTCTCTGCAGAGCCTCCCTTTACTTCACTGGGAAAGGGAAAGCTAAATGAATCTGGAACGCTTTCTTGGTAATCGCAAGTGCTTCAGGTCAGACATTCCACTCCCTGGAACACCCCACGGGCTGGGATGCAGCCTGCACCAGCTCCAGGGCATTCAAACCAGGGCCAGCATCTGTATGAGACCAGGAACAGGGCAGACTGGGATGAGGCACCAACAGGGAATCAGAAGACACAATGAATACAAGGCACACATCAAGGAAACTGGCCTCCATAAACTTTTCACAGGTGCCAGTGCCCACCTGAGCTCAGGCAGTGACTATAAAGGGTCTAGACAAAACAGTTCTGAGATGGAGATCCATTTCTTAATAAGGGCTTTGAGTGATTGTGTTTAAGTTATTTTCTTAAAAATTAATTCTCATAAAAGGAAGGCCAGAGTTCTTCAAACAGTTGTGATCCTTCATTCCAGTACAGAAAACACATATGCAAACATGGCTTCAGACCCATGCTCACTTAAGAGATCATTTTAAAGCTTGTAATAAAAATATTTTTTATACAAACAATAAATACTTCAAGCATTTACAAAAATAAACGGTCCATTCCCATAAAGAAGGACATTTAGAGCTGAAATTCCAAATACATCTGAAGGCAAGGCAGTTATTGATTAAGCTAATTGATAAAATCTTTGGTATGAGTACAGGACATTTTTATGCACTGTTGGCTTCCTTTGGCCGGTGTACTGTACAGTCAAGCAAAGAGAAAGCTTTTCCTTAATTTCTTGACATGTCCTCCAAATACAACATACAAATATTTCTGACATGTCTTCCTATGATAATAGGAGAAAAACCCAAGATTCTCCTGGCTCTTCCTATGACTTGCGTTTCTAAAATGGAATGAGAAGAGGAAAAAGAGAAAGTGAACACAGTTAGATTTCATTTTAGCTATAAAGCAGCATCTGCAAAAAATAAAAATCAATTGAAAGTAACTCTAGAGGAAAGCCCATTTCCTTCAATTTGTAGAAATCAACTGCCAAGAGAGGCTAACAAGGAATCTGTTCAGATTCAGTGCTGCAATTGAGAGAGGAAGAGGAGATTGATCAGTTAGGGAAGGCAGCAGCTTCACCCCGAGCACAGCACTGGATGGTGTGGAACAGGTGACTGTCAAATCACACAGGGCGTTAGAGGTAACACCCAGAGCCAGCAGCACAGGGACAGCTGTAGCTGCTGGAACTCAGCAAATCCAGCCAGCATCTCCCAGCCCTGGCCAGGCTTCCAACAGCTCCCAAGGGCTGTGGGAGCCAGAAGGTTTTGGGTCCTGAGTTTTTGCTCACCTGAGTTACAGCAATACCAGAAAAGGGCCAGTCCTGCAGCCACACTGAAACACGCCAGGAAAAACACTGGGCCTACAGAAAACGGCAAGAAAACACACTGAGACAGAGCAGAGCAGAAGAAGTTAAGCTCAGTTCACAAATCACCAATTGCTACCAATATGCATAATTAAGCATATTCAAATGAAGCTAACATATTCACAATTCTGTATGTTTTGTAGCTAATGTACTGTGAAGCACATTTATTAGCGTCAATTAATTTTTACTACAGTTGCTTTGCCACCATTGCCTGTTCCCCTCTGCTTATCCAGCTACAGACTATGGTATTTAAGGAGAAGTATCCAAACCAAATCTCCTGGAAACTGCCTGCCTAGAATTACACACAGTTTAATGGTGATGGTCAGTATGGATGTTCAGTAAAACCATTCTAATTCATACTTATCCACTGACAAAACAGCATGAAGATTTATATCTGCTTCTTTCTTACCTAATACTCTTTTATAGTTACTATGTCACTAGAAACAAAGATACAATTAAATAACCCATATACTTGTAGATACAATTAAGCTACACTTCTCAATTTGAGGACAAGTGTACTGCCTCAAGGAATTCCTGGAGCTGACTGCGTGGACAAGGACATTGGAAAAACAGCAAAGGAGCACAGATTTGGTTGCTCTTTGGCAAGTAACCTCCCAAGGAGGGTGGCTAGTGGCCAAACAATCTCTAGTCTGAGGCCAGGTCAGAAAAAAAAACAAACCAAAAACCCTCAAAAACACACACACAAAAAAACCCTCCAAACCCCCCCCCCAAAAAAAACTACTTCATTTTCTTATTTCCAAGCACTTTCTCTGTTCATCCTGTACTGTTAGGTTGCAGACAGCAACAGCAATGTGTAAAGCCTGAACAGCAATTTGGTTCAATATTCACAGAAACACCATCACCACAGACAAAAATATACACTGAGTTAAAAACAGTGTTTCTGCTACTTATTTCAGTTTTCTCTCAGGAACCTGCAAAAAAGGCATAATTCACAGAAGGTGTTTTGAATCTCTCATTATTGTATCTAAATCTCTAAATAAAATACTGAACTTCAATGATACAATAGTTCATTATAAATGGTGAGAATTCTTCAACTTTATTTGAGATCTTCCTTTTCAAAATATCCTACCATGAAAAAAATATTTGTCTCTGTAATCTAGCATTGAACAGAGGAAGGTGAAACTAATTAATATGTTTTCCTAAGGAAAATATATTTAAGCTTTTCCTTCCTTTCTGTCATTGCTTTCAAATGACTTGTAGTTAAATTGAGAACTTTAAAAAAATTGAAAAAAAAAGAAAGTCAGATCAAAAAGTTATTGACGGCCTTATGCAAAATGAATAGACCTTACTGTTCAGGTATTGAAGAAATCGCAGGAAATTAAGAGCTTAGCTGTAATAGTGTAAGTAATACCATTGTAAATATTGATTAAACTCTACAGTCTCTTCAATTTCCTGGCACTGGTTTCCTCAACAGTAACTCAGTACATTTTCCTCCATTAATTCTACTTAACTTGTGACAATAAAGACATCATAAGCCAAAGTAGTTGTTATATGCAGTGCAAACTACATGATATAATAAATTGCATCATAATCTGCAAAGCCATTCCATCCGGTGACACTGTATGATTTATTTACCCCTGTCATTTAGCATATATTGCTCCTTGTCAGTGTCTATCTCTGTGGGATCTGGGGTTTCTAGAAATAAAAGCAACACACGAAAAGTTAGTATTCCGCTCAAGCAAACAAACATAATCAGCACATGCAAAATGGTGCAAAACACCACATTTCAGAAAAATATCCAATATTGACCAATGAAGTATTAACCCCTCCAGTGGTAAACCATTGCTAGAGTTAAAGGCACAGAGCCACCTGAATGCAACTACAAATAGATGCAGCCCCACCTCTGATCTACTTAAGCACTGACCACATAAATAACATTGCACTTTTTTCCTAAGTTAGGAAAGCAGGAGATCATCCTTCACAACACCAGTGAAGTTTTCATTGCAGTTTTCATTTGTAGTTTTCATTGCAATACATACAAACTCTTTTTTAACAGATGCACTAATCTGAAAACACCTCTATAATTTAATGTATTACTATTCTTTGTTCTTGAGCAAATCTCCAGGCATTGATGTATTTAGCAGGTAAAGCACAAAGAAAAAACTTCTTGGTGTAGATTATTTACTAAATGCAGGTCTCAGCTGAACACATGCCCAGCTTCTTTAAAACTCTGTAGGTTCTACATGCTAACATTTGGCACAAGTAATTTCAGCCTCTAGCTTTCTGCAAATTCTAATAGAAAAGGAGGCTGGCCTTAGGACAAGATGTTCAGTAGTTTCCAGTCTGGGCAGAAAGACCCTTTCAGAGCTGCCTTTGCCACACAGATGTGGAGAATATGCTGTCTGCAGAAGGGGGATGCACAGGTGTCACCAGACATGGCAGAGTGACTTTCCATAACACATCACTGACGTGCAACACTGTTTTAGCCAAACTTTTCTGTAGTCATGCAATCACAGAATCATAAATGTTGGAAGAGACCTCTACGATCACCAAGTCCAACTGTCAAAGGGCTAGGAGGGTTAAAAAAGGGAAGGAAAAAAAGTAAGAGTTCTGAATCTGGCTGTCAATAGGGAAAAATTTAAGACTGATTGGTTTAAACTTCTTTCACATGACACCAGGATGTAGGACAGATGCCTCAAAAACCGCCCTGTCCACCCAGGCAGCAACAGGGCAACACTCATCTCCCCTGCTAAGGATATTCCTCTCAATGTGGGGACAGAGCATGGCTCTGGAGCAGGACAGAAGCATCTGTTGCCCTTTGCTGTGAAGCCTGAGAGTCACTGGAGCAGCAAGGATTGCTGCAAAGCTTCCACGAGCTCAGTGTGCCCCTAACAGCCTCACCCAGCCTGCCCCTTTGAGGAGCTGATGTCCTTCCTAGAAATTCCAGCTAGGAAATACTCACATTGCACAGGAGGGCACAGACAAATCTCTGCCACTTCTATCACTACGTGGGGCTGATCCGAGCCTTTACCCTTTAAGTCTATGTCAGCATGGAGAGAAATAGAAACATTTTCCGAGTCCCTTGGAAACTCCCGTTTGTTTCAACAGCTCCGAGGCTGCCCATACCATGTGCCTTACCCCCCCTCTAGTGGGAATGTTCAGACATTACCAGACACTTCACTGGCAATTTACACTTCAGGCAAAGAAATTTTGTTCTAGCACGAATTTTAAAGCTGTCTTGAAAATGAAAAACAAATATTTGAAAGGATTTCCTCTGCTGAAAAAAATCTGTCCTATGTATGTAGCTGAGTATAATCTATTACAGAACTACAAAGTTCATCCATGAACCATCCATGGTTCCCCCATGTCCTCACTGATAATTTCTCCAGGTGTTTGTAATGCTGCTTGTTTCAGCTCAGCCTGCATTTAGAAGAAAAGCCCTATGTTAGTGATTCTCCTTGCTCTTCATATTTACAAATTCTAGTATCAGTTCTGCAAATGCTTTGTGCTAAATTTAACAACTGCTAAGAGCATTACAGAATGATGCCATGCTTTGAGTTGGAAGGGACCCTGAAAACCACCCAGTTCCAACCTCCTGCCATAGGCAGGGACACCCTCCACTGACCAGAGTGCTCAGGACCCCACAGATCTTGGCCTTGAACAGCCCTTGAGCACTTCCAAGAAGTAACATTCAAGTAACAAATTGTGCGTGTTGGAGGTCTGAAGGATAATGCCTTAAATATTGAAAATGTCCAAGTTCACTCAAATGAAAAGTTTCATATCGCATACCGATAAAGGGGCTTTTCCTGAAGCATAAAGGTGTTTGCAGTTTTAGCTTAAAAAGCTGCACAGATGTTTCTTCTCCATTCAATCCAGAATGCAGACATTTGTTTTAATTACCAAACTCTAAGAAGCAGCAAGCATATTAACACAATCATCTCAATATTTATTTCTTAGGTCAACAGAAAGAAACTGCCGAACCTCAGCACACAGTAATGTTTTAACTCAGTTTTTTAAATTATCCTCATCCTTCTGAGGATGGTAACGTGAAAGAGTGTACCAAGAAAACAGAGAATTTAATGACTTTTTATGGTTACTGAAGTCAGCAGTTTGCAGCAGCAGCAAAACTGTTTTCAGGTGCCACAAAGAGCTGTATGTTTAAGTGAAGCACTTCTAGCACAGGTATTTGCTATGCAGAGTCTGAACATGAGAAACCCTAACCCTGCCTACTCATGGCTACCTGAGGAAAGCTTGGAGTAACCACATAAATTGTGCAAGGATGAGCACATTTCTGCTCTAGCTAAAAGTGAAAACATCCCACAGACCCTATCCAAGTCTCCTTGTAAAGACACATTTTCAAAAACGGCTTGTAAAATGTGCTACTGAACATTAAAAAAGCTTCAACTCTTAAATATCAAAACAGTCATAAAATTTTTCTTCTTAGTGACTACACCAAGACTTCTCAAACTGCTCTTAATTCATAAAGGCTGTCTGCTAACAGTCGGCCTGGCAGAAAAACTTGTTTCTTGACCTCTACCAAAGTAAAAATGATAGATCAAAGAAAATTTGATTGAAGAGCCTGTTCTTCAAAGTGCACAACTTCTGCAAGGTGAACATCAGGTCAAAGCACTGCCTTCAAGCTGCTGCGAGGCTCAATCAGTTGGGATTGGGGCTCATCTGAGATTCTGAGGCAGGATGGGCCCAGACTTCCCCAGTTCAAAAGGGTTCAGTTAATGGATGTGGGGTAACTGAAGCCTCCACATGCAGGCAAGAAAATGGTCCTCCACCACTTTGTGCTGGGTAGATACAAATTGCTTCTTTCAAAATGAAAGACAAAATGAAGGAAATTACAATTTTACATTACAAAATCCCCTTACAGCTTTTGGAAAACTTAAGTCAGAAGGAATTAAGGTATACCCCAAAAATTATTTAAGTAACTTGTTTATTTGTATTATTTATAACCTGTTTAAGTTGTTTAAGTGACCTACACTGCATCTGAAATTAGGTTTTGTAATACACTGGTGAGGAAATCCACAACTGAGTCAACGTACAAGTCAACTTACTCAAGATTTTTCTGCTTGGCAGGTCATTAAACAGCTGTTCAGCATTGATCTGCAGAGCCCTGTAAAACTCCTGACAGTGTCTGTCTCCTTTCTTTTGGAGGTGTTTTAACAGATCTGAGAGCCTGGTATGGAGTGATGCCTTTGGGTTCCTGAACTGCAAGAGAAAAGCACACATCAGAAAAGAGATTAAAACAAAAGAGAGATTAAAAGATCAATTTTATATCACTATGCCAGTTATGTAGCTTCGTTATGGAGCTTCTTTGATTTTACTAAAAGAATGGATCAAAAAGGGAAACCTAAAAAGGATATTCATGCACTGCAAAGCCCTGAGCTCCACTGCCTGATGGAGAGCATATTGTCTCTGCCTCTCCTTCTGCTTTTTTCTGTCCCAATCAAGTGAAAGGCACTCTGCATTTGATGTCTTCCCTGCATCCAAGCTGCCACTTGCTATTCTACAGTTTAATTCTGGCAGCTGTAGATAGAATATTTCAGCAAATCGTATAATTTGAAATAAAGTTTGATGCTTTCAAGTTTGCCCTTAGCTGCCTAGTAATGATCCCCAAAAAGGCACTTTATACTGCTTATCCTAGTCCCAGTACTGGAGCATTCATCATCCCAAGAATTCGTATTTCATGATTTTTTATTGTTTCCAGGCAATTAACTGCTGTTAGTTCAACAGGCACAAATTCCTGTTACTCAGGCTGGCAAACAGTTGCAGTGGGAAATACCTTTTTTCTGTAGTGCCAAATGCAATGAGTATTAGGAGACTTTACAAGGAGAAGGAAAAAGCATCCCTAGCCTTACACATCAAACCGTTTTATTTTAAAAAAATCCAAAGCCATACTCAGCAAAACACCATATTTCATTGCAGCACAGTGGAAAACCTTTGTAGCTTACTGAGTTAGGAACAATTGCTGCTTGAGGGGGACAAGAATGCCACAGATTTTACACAATACTCTTTATGCTGACAAAATTCCCACAGGGTCTACCAGATACAGCTGAGATTATAAGCTTCCTAAACATTCAATAAAGTTGACACAAACTTGCCTGAATCCATTAAAAAGCAGTTCATTCCTGCCACAAATCATGTTTCAGATTCATTATGGGTTTATTTTAAAGCTCTTGAGGGAAGGTAGCAAGACTAGCTCAGTAAATGATCTAGCTCTGCTCTACACCACAAAACACTAATTGTCCCCATGAAGTTTGATTACGGTAGAATTGGACCTATTTTTCCTGATGTTAAAATACTGATATGCCAAAACTCTGTGCAGACATGAAGCCAGCAGAGGGCAACGACAAACTATTACAGAAGCTCTTAACTGACTTTAATTTGTCTCCACACAAGATTAGAAGCTTTTTCTCCCTAAAAAGAGCTACCCATTTTTGAAAGCTTCACATCAGGGAGGGTGGCCTTCCTCCACACATGGTGGCACTACTGCAAGATACTATTAACTCCACCCACTTCCCACAGCTTCACACTTACTACTGGGACTAACAGCCCCCCACTTCTCCACCAGTACTTAAAATTATTAATTGGTTACCAAAACTGATTGAGCTAATATAGATGATTTTGTGGGCAGAGATGGATGCAGCACAAATCATTTGGTGTGCCACTCCACACCACCTTATGGGAGGAGACAGACACTCCAGGCATATGGTCACAGGATGGGTGCCCTCCTGCCCATGGACTGGCTGCACAATTGTCCGCCCCTGATCATGGCAGGGACTGTGGCATTAAACTGCTACTGAAGAGAGCATTCTCTCCCATGACCACTTGGCACAGGGAACCTGCCAGCCCTGTGACTGCTCCTCTTACATGAGATGCCAGACACAACTGGTCAGCAAACAGGACGTGAGGCAGGCTGGCTGCATGTGGCACCAAGAGTTGTGTCAGGAAGAGGGGAGAGAGGGCAGCTGGAGTAGTGACCCACAGAAGCAACACAACAGTCAGAGACACAGCAAAACTCCTCAAATTACCTTTTCTGCTTCTTCATTGGTAAGAATTTGGGGATAGACTCTGTTAAGCTGAAGAACAATTTTATCAACCACTTGCTCATTCAGTCGGCTAGTGCTTGTAAGGAAATACATGTCATGCTGCAGCCGATGACAATACGACTGATCTAGAGATAAAATAACACAGAAGAAACCACAGCACTTATTAATAAGCCATTTTAAAATTCCATACATTTCATTTTCCTACCAGAGATTAAATAGCTAAAATAAAATTAACACCACCACCTAATATTAGCAAGCTGAACTATCTGTTAGGGAAACATAACACTGCCATGTGCTTTCAAAGACTCATCCACTTGAAATTACACAAATCAGAAGTTCTGACTGGCCACTCCTACTGCCTCTCTCCTTCAAAGGGAGAAGGCTATAAATCATTTAGAAGTCAAGCTCTGATGGATATTTAATCAAATACAGCCTTAAAGTTAATAAATCACTGAAGATAAATTCTCCATCACTTATGAAGTCAGATAATGACATTTAAGGCACCTGCAAGATGCTTCTCCCATCCAATGTGATGCTCTCATGCTGCTCTTGGAAATAACAAGGCTCATAAAAAAAACTTATCATACATGACCATAAGGTGCCAGACTGTCTGCTAGAGCACCTGCAGAAAAAACATCAGGGACACCCTTTTGTAAGTTCTTCAAACAGGGAGTTTGTCAGACACAATTCCCAACAGAGGAAGAGGAAGATGGAAGAGGAATTCCCAACAGACTCTGGCAGCAGCCAGAATGTTGGACAAACCCTTGCACTCTTGCTTTATATGCCTGTGGTGAGGTATGTGGCCCCTGAAAGCTGTCACTAGCAAGCTGTCACTGGCACAACGCAAACCAGAACTTTCAAGTTATACTGGTTGCCAAAAACCCCTTTGTAATTTTGTTTCTGCTTAACTGTTTTTAGCATAAAAACCCTAATGTTTCTTTCTATACAAGAAACATCAAACAGGATTTTGTTTGTCACAATCCCCTGCATACATTTCTTCATTATCTACTTTCACTGCCTTTCTGGATAAAGCCACAGGGCCCTAAGGAGCTGCACTGCCACTTCATATTTATCACACTAAATTAATAAATACAGCTGCATTTCAAATTTGTAGGCTGAGATCAGTCCTTCCTTGCCACGCAGCAACATGCAAGCACTCTCATCCACACCTGGGCCCTGGGAGCTGTCAACCACCTTTAGTCAGGTAGGTACACACTCCCAATTAATAACTCCACTAATATTTACATAAGGACTCTGGACACTGTATCTGACACCACTGTATCTTTATTATGGTTTCATCCTTAGTTTGTTTTTGCCTTAAAAGCCTTCCTAAGTTTATCAAGAAAACAAACAGAATCATTAAGGAGATAAATTTAAATACAATAGACACGAAACCCAGCGCAACTTTCTGATGTTCTCTGTAAAACACCGAACTTGCAAACATCCATTTCAGAAACCTCAGTGGTGTCTGCTGTGCAGTGCAAACATGAGCTGCTACTTCCTGTAAAACTCCTGGGTGATTTTCATAAACATTATACAGGAAAGCTGGCAACCGAAACCTACCGAAACCTGGAAGGTTTGGATCTGATGATCAAACCACTTGTATGTGTCCATGACAACTCCTTCCAGAAGCATCTCAGGAAAGAGGAAAAGTCTTTCAACAAAATGTTAGCTTAACACTAATTTAGTTTTGCCTTTTCCCTTTCAAGACCCTAAGAAAGGGATGCCAAGGATTTAAGAAGGAGACTGGGTGCAGAGAAATGGTCTTGAGGTGATGAGATGGCACTGGTTACCAAATGCACCCACGAAGAGCAGCTGGTCTGCTCCTCTGGGCTGAAAGGATGACAGAGAGGTGAAAAACAAGATGCCACCCTCCTCTCCTACTCTCACCCACTGCCATGTGCTACTGGGAAGTTACCAGAAGTCAAGGGTCTCTGACAGCAAGTCAAGAGAATCACAGAATCATTTAAGTAGTAAAAGAACCTTAAGACTATTGAGTCCAACCATCAATCCAGTATCACAATATTTAGCACTAAACCATTTCCTGGAGTGCCACATCCATGTTTCTTTGAACATTTCCAGGGATGGTGACTCCACCGCTGCCCTGGGCAGCCTATAGCAGGCATAGGCAACCCGTACCAGGCCTGGGCAACCCTTTCAATGAATAAATTTTCCTTAATATCCAACCTAAACCTTCCCTGGTGCAATCTGAGGCTGTTACCTCTCATCTTGGCACTTGGTGCTTGGGAGGAGACTGACGCCCACCTGGCTACACTCGGCGGTCGTCAGGAAATTGTAGACTTCAACAACTGCAGTGAGCAAAATATTAAAAAGCATTTGATACTAGAGTGTGACTTTAGGTTACACACAGTCCCAGTCCTCAAAGTTCCGTATGATGGCTAAAACAACCGGGCCCCCGAGTCACCAGGATAACTAACCTGTGTGCTCCCCAGGTGCAGAGGCACAATACCAGCGAGCTGGACGGAGTTTGGGAGTAAACAGCAGATTTCGCTGCCACACAGTACGCAGCCAGTGTGCCAGGGTGTGAAACGTGGCACTGCCCGGCTACACCAGGCCGGGGCCCGGCGCCCAGCCCAGCCCCGCCCGCCGTGCCAGCGGCCCGCCCGTGAGGGGCCCAGCAGCGCTGCCCGCGCCGGGCCGGGCCATCC